CGGGGCATACGCTCCCTGGCTCAATCCGGACCCTGATGCGGCGGCTGCAATCGCTGCTAATCGAAAAATTACTTCTGCAATAGCGCTTTTAAATGACTTTAAAAAGGTAAAATATGATAATAAAATAATTATGAGAATCCGTTGTCCTGACTTGGATCGTATGACCCCGCCACCTAGCGGATAACGGCGTAGTTAGGGTTGAGTTGGTGATTGCCAGGTGGATCGTCAGTATGGATCGTCAGTAAGCTGTCAGCCGCAGACAGGAGAGAGGCCGGCAGGCGCTTAATACTACTTGTAAATGCCAGGTCATGTTCCGGAAAATACGACACGCTTCAGAACGGTCATTTATCTCGAAAAAGATGCGGTGCCCTGTGGTGTTATGGCCCACATGACTCAGGGCTCCGGTCCCGAGTCAGCAGGGGCCTGATAAGGCCCCTGTGGTCACCGGCAGCTCCCAAGGCCCCTACGGACGCGATACGTACTTCGAAAATCGCTAGACAAAGGACTCAGGGGCGCAGCCAAGGGGGGGGGGGCACACTGGGATTTAGCCCCTCCCAAATCTAGCAGGCGCCCTCTGGAAAGACACCATCCAGGGCATTCTGTGCGCCGAAGGCGCCTTTTCAGTGTCCAGCACTCTAGTCGCTCTCGACGTCAAGCCATTGCGGCGTCATCATGCGGCACCGGCGCCCAGGTTTACAATTTTATATCTCTTTGTGGGTGAAGATGCACCCACAATCCTGAAATGCCGGATATCCACTCCCAATCTCCTGACCATCTAGCGCCCTCGGCTCACCTTCAGGCTTCAGCGCCCTTCTGTCTGCTCGGCGCCCTTCTGATCTGTCGGCGCCCTTCTCGCCCTTTAGCGCTCTCCTAGCCTGTCGGCGCCCTCTTCACATTCGGCGCCCTCCGGGCAGACCAGTTGGCGCCCTCACGGACATTATCACACAGCATCCTCCTGATCTGTCTCGCCCTCCACACATGTCAGCGCCCTCCTTATCGTATTATAGCGCCCTCCTCACCGTACAGTGCCCTCCTGACCTGTCGCCATCCTCCTCACTGTATAGCGGCCTCCTAACTATACAAGGCCCTCCAGACCGGCGCCCTCTACGTTCAGCGCCCTCCTGACAAGTCGGTGTCCTTTTCACCGTAGGCGGCCCTCCTGATCTGTCGGCGCCCTCCTGACCGTACATCGCCTTCCTCACCTGTCCGCGCCCTCCTCTTTATACAGTGTCCTCCTCACCTGTCAGCGCCCTCTTCACTCGTATAGTGCTCTTCTCATTGTACTGCATCCTCCTCACCACACGGCGCCCTCCTGACCTGTCGGCGCTCTCCCCACCATACAGCGCCCTGCTGACTTGTCGGCGCCCTCCTGACCAGCCGGCGCCCTTTGCAAAGCATAGCGCCCTTATCACCATGCATCGCCCTCCTGACCAGTCAGCGTTCATCGTACAGCGCCCTCCTGACCTGCCGGCGCCTCCTCACAACACATCGCCCTTCTGACCGGTTAGCGTTCTCCTCACCATGCAGACAATGCAACACTTTACAATAAGGAAAGCGTTAAAGGGACCCTCCCACCTTCAAAAAAGTTAATGAATTGGCATGAAAGTGATGTCGCTCGGTTCAGAAAGAGCAAAAACGAATATCTACCAAATTTCATCGAAAAATATTCACCGGTTTTCAAGATATTAGACTTTTACTTTTGTTTACTTTTTGGGATCTCCGCTGTTCCTAGCGACTTTATTTGAAAGTGCGGCATTTGTTGCGCGCAAAGCAGCATATACCACCGCGTGCTACAAAACGTTTTAGTCAAACATTTAACGGACGTTCGAAAGCCTGATGACGTCATCAGATTCCCGTAATGGTTAAGAGATAGGGACCACGCTGGTCCCACCCTGCAAGTAAAGGGAAGAAATTTCTTGAACACCATAAAGCTGCGGGGGTTGCGACCAGGATAAATGGTGGTTTCTGAGCCTGGCCGCAAACTTGGCTATCTCAACTCAAAACTAATGTTAAGGTGGGAGGGTCCCTTTAAGGAGCCTATGCTTCAAGTGATTTTAGGCGCAAATTAGATATGAAGCAATTTCCGGAAAATTTAAGCATGACAACGCTTCCAGCGTTTCCGGAACGTTTCCGGAAAGGAACTTGTTTACAACCGTGACCCTTAAAATCGTATTCAAGGCCAAACTTGCGGGGAAGCGCAGCTGACAAGTGTACGCCCCGGTGACGTCACGGGTAATGTTAAACAGTCGGCCGCCCGGCACATAGGAAAGCTCGGGATGACAGCCCCCTGAATAAAACTGCATTTTCACAGCCCAAGGTTGGGAAGAGATTTACCACATGCCGTACCGGCGTAACAGTTTATATTATGTATGACTAGATAAGTGAAACTTTTTTAAATATAAAGGTACTGTATTATAGAAAGCTGTAAAGGTACTGTATTACAGTACCTTTATATTTAAAAAAGTTTCACTTATCTAGTCATACATGTCACAATGAACGTTCAACAAGTTTATATTATATTTGTATTTTTTATTGTGGGGCTGCGTTAAGAATGAAAGATGAAATTCCATACTTTCCCCTTATTTTGGGTTTGAAAAAGCCATGAGGATGAAGATGGTGAGGCGCCAGAAGTTAGAACAAAGAAGTATATGGAGTCCAGCAGGAGTGAGGAAACCGTGAGGAAAACTGAAAATTGGGTGAAACGCTGAATCAAACGCGTCTTGAATGCTAGCTGGATCAATAAGTTAGAACAAAGAAGTATATAGAGTCCAGTGCAGGAGTGAGGAAACCGTGAGGAAAACTGAAAATTGGGTGAAACGCTAAATCAAACGCGTCTTGGATCCCAGCTGGAACAATATCAAATGTTTCATTGTGGCACGTTAAGATGCCTCTCGCATTTGAATTGCTCGTTTTTTGCGTGCATTATATGTATAGTAATAATGACTATTCTGACCATGTTCTGCAGCAATAAATAATTTGGCATTGGAACGATACCCTTGTTTATAGTTGAAGTACGTTGACAGCAAAAGTAAGTAAACACGCAGTCACTTACTTTTGCTGTTGCTGTTAGTGAACACACAATCCGTAAATATCTTCTTTGGAATTGGTTCTTCCGCTCAGAATATTCAGTAAAACTTTGTCTGGGAAAATCAAAAAGCCCTAGGGCCGAATCGTTTCCCAAATACCTTCAACATTAGCCGAGGCGGGCCGAAGTCATTTCCCAAATGCACGTGCTAATGTTAAAGGGATATCTCGGCATGTGGTAAAATAAGGAAACTGTTGTTTTTGTGCATGAACTGATCTCAAACTATCTCAAGCACACGGAATCGTGATTTCATGCACTCCTTGCAAGATCCGATGCTTTACTTTTGCATTTTTGACCTTCCGTGACGTCATTTATGACGTCACCACGGTCATAGGAGTTTCTCGTCAATAACTCATGATCAAATTGAGCCAGCGACTCGGGAAAGCCACCAATGGACTCGGAAAGACCTCCCGAATCGAATGCTATGCAATACGACTTCCTTCGATTAAGTTCGTGGCCTGATGGGCTCTGACCTGACCTTGACTCGAGGTCAACACCTTAAGTTGACCTCGCCCGGACAAAAAGTATACCATTCGACGCGCCTGAGCCAGGCGAACACAATGGTGCCAAAATCGCTGCTCTGCGGCCATTTTTTGCGAACTTATTTACCAAAAACTAAACCCTACCTTGGGCTTTTTGACTTCACCTCAGAGGTACCCGTTGACCTGGGACCTTAAAATCGGGTATCAATCGTTCTGTCTTGAAACGGCGCACACGCTTGTTTTTTCCGCGATGCTCTAGCTCCATTAGGGGCGAAAAGGCGAAAAGGGGTCGTACCAACCCTCCCCCTCGGCCGGCCAAGGGGGTGGGGGGTCCGACAATAAGGTCCGGCGATGGTTAAGCAGCCCCACTTCGTTTTTAGCATGTTTGCTTGTCACTGAGATCAACAAGTCAATCACAGATAATTTCTAGCACTTTTCCGGGCCCCCGGCCCAGTGTGCGGTGGCTGGCCTTCGGCCGCGCTCCGTGCTGCCGGCCGGCCTGTGCTGCCTCTCTGGTCTGGCTGCGACTATAGGCTGGCCGGAGACGGGACCGCTGCCGCTGGCGAGACTGCTGGTTAGTACTATCGGGTGATATGGTCTGGTCAGGTGGCGGTCGGCCGGCCAGCGTCTGGCAACGTTTTGTTCTGTTGCCACTTGCCGTGAGTGTGGGCGTCGTAATTAGTAGAAGTCGGAGCCGTCATCCTCCGGCAGACTGAGGTCAGGTGCTTTACCGTGTCGCAATCGCTCGCGTGTTTTTTTTATGTGATCGTGATTTGGTGAGACGTTCGGTGTTTCGTAGCCCACGGTCTTAGACACTAGTTCCGTCATATATTGCAATACGAAAAAGTGTAAAGCCGGCTTGGCATCGCGCTCACATTCCCTCAACAACAGACTACGGTCCCGCGCACTTTCATAGGTAAATACGACGTCCACTCCAGAAGTGAGACCCAGGAAAGCCAGACAGGGCAGGTGCACTGGGAACTCATAATGATTCCGTTCTTTGGCGGCTAAGGCATCATCTTCGTCAACTCCCCCCCCCCCCCCCGGCCAGATGGTCAACAAGTAATACCACGTGGTGGTTCCGGCGCACAGGCCAAGAAAAGCTCAAAAGTGGTGCCAGAAAAATAAGGCAAGAGTTACGGCGATTAGCACGCCACAGCGCGTATTCATATGATTGCACATGGAATAGGGAGCATATTGGGTGGTCAATGTCATAAATATACCAAAACGGAATGTACCCTGTTTTACATGCAAATAAAATGTGAAAACGAACTTTTGGGACACTCTGTAAGTGCAATTAACCCAGGAGATCCTATTTCCAGGATGACTTAAGTTTAATATTTCTCTGAAATATATGACTGTCTCTACTGAAAAAGTCTAAAAAATCTGGAGTGCACCTCGTACCTATTTACCTCACATTGGTAAGTCTTAGGTAATTGGTCATCTCACAGCTAATTCAGTATTTTCCGCACAGCATCACATGCCGATTTGATGGACGTTGGTGGATTTGATGGGCACATGTCAGCAGTTCAACACTTGTTTGCGACTGGCCATTGCCTAAGGACGCGAGATAGAACGGAATATTGACGAGACGGGACACTTAACCATGGATGAAGGCATCCATGGTCAAGTAGAGAACTTCATCCATGACTTGACCGTCACAAGGCGCCGTGCACAGAGTGAACACTGACCGGACTGGGTTGGCGTCACGTGGCAGTACCCGGCTGGGGCCCAGCGGCACCGTCCCCGCCGACAACAGTCCGCCGTCGGACGGTGTCGGGCGCTGGCTGCCGGTGCCCGGAACCCGTCCGCGTCCGAGAGCCGTCTCCGAGCTGGGCGGCGGCCACGGCCAGCCGATCGGCCGCCGCATTACCACCGTCACCAGAATGCCCACGAACATGGTTCTGAAACACCAGCCACACATGGTTCTGAAACACCAGCAACACATGGTTCTGAAACACCAGCAACACATAGCTTTGAAACACCAGCCACACATAGTTCTGAAACACCAGCCACACATGGTTCTGAAACACCAGTCACGCATGGTTCTGAAATACCAGCCACGCATGGTTCTGAAACACCAGCCACACATAGTTCTGAAACACCCGCCACACATGGTTCTGAAACGCCAGCCACGATAGGTAGCCCCACTGCTCGGTGCTCACCCATTTCACGGTGACGTCGTCCATGGCGCGTGCCAGCTGCTCGAGCTGCGCACGATTCTTGACGGGACCGCCGCCGGCCAGTCGCCAGCCGTTCTTTCGCCAGACGCGCAGCCAGCGGGTGGCGCACTCAATCACAAAGCGTGAGTCGGTGTGCACCAGGACACGCGAGAAGCCCGCCTGTCTGGCCAGCCGGAGCGCGCGGCCAGCCGCCTGCAGCTCTGCGCTGTTATTGGTGGCCGGCGGCGCGGCCAGCTCAGACACGTTCAGCCGATGGCCTGGTCCGAACCACACCCCGATGCCGGCGCGCGCGTCACGTCGCCCGTTGCTGCGGCACGCACCGTCCGCCCAGACGTGCACATACTTGTTCTCGTCGGTGGTGAATCCTCGGTCAGCCGGAGGCGGAGGCGGCTGTCGGCCAGATGAGGCCTGTCGGGCTGGAGCCAGTGCGGCCACAACACAGCCTGCACGCCAGCTGCAGTGTTTACAATGTGTGAATGCCCGGAAACGCAGCAGCCACGTGAGATGGGATATGTCCATTTCATCCCTGCCGAAAAGAAAATGCAGCTCATATTCATAAAGCAAGATTGAATTCATCTAACAATTACGACGAATCCCAGGGATGCCATGCATGCCATACGTCACTGTTACCAGAAAGCTATCTAACATAAGGTGGGGTCATTTGATATGAGTGGGACTGTTTGATATGCGTGGGGTATTCATAGACTACCGTGATCTACAGGGTGGAAAGTAATTATGTGAACATACTTGTTCTTCATCTAGCAATGGAAAAACATGGTGGTGGCTTGAAAATTTGAATTGTTACATCCTTATATGTGTGCAATACACTGACAAGAGTTGCAGCACAACTGACACCAGGATGTGAAGCACTGCTGGCCAAAGCGTAGCCCACACTTTCTGGAGCGGTCTGGTGAGGTAATCGATGTTGGTGGCTCCTAACAACTCTCTGAACCACAGGTACACAGAGGGCCCTCTCAGGCACAGACGGCAATCTCAGGTACATAGAGGGCCCTGTCAGGCACACAGAGGGCCCTGTCAGGCACACAGAGGGCCCTGTCAGGCACACAGAGGGCCCTCTCAGACACACAGAGGGCCCTGTCAGGCCACAGAGGGCCCTCTCAGACACACAGAGGGCCCTCTCAGGCCACAGAGGGCCCTCTCAGGCCACAGAGAGCCCTCTCAGGCCACAGAGGGCCCTCTCAGGCCACAGAGGGCCCCTTAAAAGATGAACAGAAGGCCCCATGAGGTATGCGGGTCATTTTCAGGCCACAAGGTGTCCTGTGAGGCCTACAGACGGTCTTCTTATATCAAAGGTGGTCCCTGGAGGTCACCAGAGGGCCCTCTGAGGTGAACAAAGGGCCCTCTTAGCCACCTCAAAGAGGGCTCTTTGAGATTAAAGAGGGTCCTCTAAGGCGAATAGAGGGCCTTCAAAGGCCACAAAGTGCCCTCTGAGGCCACTGGAGGGCCCTCTGAGGTGACATGGGGGCTATGTCAGGCCACCATGAGCCCTATGATTATCAGACCCTCTGAGATCAAAGAGGGTCCTTGGAGGTCATCGAAGGGCCCCTTCAGGCGAATATAGGGTTCTTTTAGGCAAACAGAGGTCCCACTGAGGCAAACAGAGGCCAGAGGGCCCCGTTAGGCACCACAAGGAGGTAAAAAAGATCAATCTGAAGCCAAAGACAGCTCTCTGAGATGAAATAAGGCCTTTTGAGGCCTCAGGGCTGGCCCTCTGATGCATAAATAGGGTCCTCTGAGGTCACCAGAGGGCCCTCTGAGGCGAACAGAGGGCCTTCTAAGCCGAACGGAGGGCCCTCTTAGGCGAATCAAGGGCCCTCTGAGGCGAACAGTGGGCCTTCTGAGATCAAAAAAGGATCTCGGAGACCACAGAGAGGCCCTCTGATGTCAAAAAAGAGCCCTCTGAAGTCTGAAGCCACCAGAGGGCTTTCTGAGGCAAACAGAGGGCCCTCTCAACAACCTCAGAGGGCCCTCTGAAAATCAAAGGGCCCTCGGAGGTCAGCATTGGACCCTGGCTCTGAGTGAAACAGAGGGCCCTCTCAGGCATCACCCCCGAGGGCAGTCGGAGCACTCTGAGAAGGCCACTTCAGTTCCAACAGAGGGCCCTCTGAGATGATATGAAGGCTATGTCGGGCCACTATGGGCTCTATGAGGCCAACAGGCACTCTGAAGACAAAGAGGGCCCTCTGAGTCGAACAGAGGGCCCTTTGGGACTATCAGAAGACTTTTTAGGCCAACGAAATGCCTTATGAGGCCAACAAAGGGCCTTTGGGAGAAAATCAGGGCCCTCTCATGCACCCGGAGGGACCTCTTGTCTAAGGCAGAGGGGGTCACCTTAGAATTAGATGATATAATGGCCATTTCAGGCCACCAGGGGCCTTATTAGACCAACATAGGTCCATCTGAGGTAAAAGAGGACCTTTTGAGGTATAAAAGGGTCACTGGAGAGAAAACAGAGGGCCCTATCAGATACCCAGAGGCCAGAGGGCCCTTGGGGGCCACTAGAGGACCCTTTGCAGCCAGTGATAGTCTTCAGAGGCCATCAGAGGGTCCCTCTGAGGGTAACAAAGGGTCCTTGACGAACAGAGGCCCCCGTGAAAATGCAGTTGGTGTCACAGGGCCCGGTTTGCATCAAAGGTCAGGTACTTAACTTATGTCCAGTTTCAGCACTCTGTTGCCGACGTGTTCCGAGCAGTCGCAAAAAAAAATTGTGGTAGCAGTGCACCCCCCCCCCCCGTTCGGTCAGGGCTCTTCTAAGTCGGCTTCTGGGCCACGTAACCAGCATGCCAAAAGCAACGTTCGAAAGAGCGTACCTACCTAAACAATAATTACGAAATTACTCTGGTCACTTTTTAGATCAGGTCAAAGGGCAGGTCACAGAGGTCATCCAAGGTTAAATTTCGCCAATTTTCAGGTCCACTTTAGACAATTTTCAACAGGGCTGCGGAGTCGGAGTCGGAGTCGGAGTCGGAGTCGGTCGGAGTCGACAGTTGTGACCGGAGTCGGAGTCGATTTTAGAAACCCGAGCCGGAGTCGGAGTCGGAGTCACCGAAAATCTGTCGACTCCGCAGCCCTGCTAGGTCTGCGGAGTCGGAGTCGGGAGTTGGAGTCGGTCGGAGTCGACAATTCTGCCCGGAGTCGGAGTCGGAGTCGGAGCTGGTTTTTGAAAGCCGGAGTCGGAGTCGGAGTCGGAGTCGCCGAAAATCCATCGACTCCGCAGCCCTGATTTTCAACAAACCACCGCATAACTCGGAAAGGAATAGAGCTACAGTACCTTGGAAAAGCGTGGTTAATAGCTCTTTTAACACCCGTTTCGTCGTTCACACCTTCAGGTCATTCAAATCCTGCTTCTCCCCACGCCAAAACCCCAGTTCCGGACTGGACGGGTAACTTTATTCCATGCGGGCGGCTCCCATTGGAGCGCACCGCAGCTCCTAAGGGAGCACAGCCGTAGCCGGGTGCATTGGGACTTGAGAGGGGGAGGGGGCTGGTAGGCCTGTCCTGTTGGACGGGCTCAGCCCCGGTGAATCACCAAGGTGCCCGCCCAGACCAATGTCTCCCCTCAATTACTATCATCCTTTCCGGCCCTGAAATGGTCTCGTCAGACCGAAAGGGCAAAGCCCAACAAAACAAACAAAGCTCTTTTGACACTCTTTCTGTAAACTGTGCTCAGATTTGACCTAGGGTCAACACTTCAGCCTGCAGGAGGCAAGGACTGCCAAAAAAGACGTTTTTGCGGAAAGTTGTTACTGCAACAACGTGTGATTCAGAACTTGCACGGCCAAACTTTTACCGGCATCGTGCTCCTTTTGTCGTGGCCCGTGAAATGAGCAGTAATGTGACCAAGAAAGGTCAACTTGAAAATTTAACCTCTGATCAAGGTCATAGCCTGACCGGAAAAGGTCGTGCTATGTACGCATCAGTCGATCCATATCATCGAACCGAACACATCTAATGTGTTTTCGTCGCTCTAGCGTGCCTTGATCAAAAGTTATTAGCGAAAAACCGTCAGATCTTTTGTGACCCAAAATGACTTCAGGGCTATAAACAGAGATCACATGTGCCATATTCCGCTTCATCGTGACATGGGTGCTCACTGCTCAGGTAACTGGGTGTTTAAGAGCGTTAAGAACAACGTCCATGCAAGAGAGGCGCCGGTACCGGAAACCGGGGTGACTTTGTATCACTTCTGACCAGGGCTGCGGAGTCGGAGTCGGAGTTGGAGTCGGAGTCGGTCGGAGTCGAAAGTTGTGACCGGAGTCGGAGTCGGAGTCGGAGTCGATTTTAGAAACCCGAGCCGGAGTCGGAGTCGGAGTCACCGAAAATCTGTCGACTCCGCAGCCCTGCTAGGTCTGCGGAGTCGGAGTCGGGAGTTGGAGTCGGTCGGAGTCGACAATTCTGCCCGGAGTCGGAGTCGGAGTCGGAGCTGGTTTTTGAAAGCCGGAGTCGGAGTCGGAGTCGCCGAAAATCCATCGACTCCGCAGCCCTGCTTCTGACCATTATGGTACAATATTTTCTATCACTATAGATTTCACTCTGGAAACCGTTTAATCATACCAATTGGACAATTTTCTATCTAACTGAGGAAAGTAAATGTCTTGAAATTTATAATAAATATTTTTTTAACAAAAAATGATCATTCTCACCCAGAGGCCGGGGTAACTATGATCACTACATTAAAACCACCTTATATGTGTCATAGGAGCCCTCGAAGGGGCTGGTGTGATAAACTTACAAGTTTTAAATTAAATAAAAGGCTTTGCTTGACACAAACTCACACAATTTAGAGCAAAACTATGAATAATTGAGGTAAACTAAGTTACATGCTCTGGGTCATAACTCACATTACAGAGCTATAAGCAGCAAAATTAGCTACTTTAACCTCTGACTTCAAGATTGAGTAACAGTCACAGATGTCCTAGGTAAGTCACAGGCTACCTGTCCTGCATCACACTTTGTCTGCTAGTGGCTGTGGGACCACTTGCCACACTGCTCAGTGCTCATGCCCCTCCCAGTTGATTGTCTTTTTCACTTCCCATTGATGCTCCAATTACCACTGAGATTTATCTTTCTTTATCTGGGTCTTTCTCATATTTACCATTATTATTGCTGGAGATGCTAGCGAATTTAGACTTCATGCCAATGACAACAACAAAAAAAAAAAAAACAAGCTGTGACATCAACATGATTATTTTAACTGGGACCGAAGTGTCTGCTATAATGCTTCTTGCTTTATTTAACCATTGGCATAGAAAATACAGTTCACAGCAGCAAAATGCTCATTTCAGGCCCAAAACTGGTCTATGATTCAAGTCACCTCGGGTATCAGTCACCTCAGTTTACGGTATTCTCTTAGCAGACATTGCCCCTGTTGCCATATCTAGTAGGGTAGGTTGTAGGTTTGTAGGTTATAGGTTGGTAAGCTGTAGGTTGGCATGTTGTAGGTTGTAGGTAGGGTTAGGTTAGGTTAGATAATATTTTGTTACATGTTTAACTGTGAAAAGACAAATGAGGCACACGTGAGACGTAGATATGGCAGCAAGGGCGACAGCTGCTAAAAGAGCAGCGATGCACCTTTCAATTTTCTCCCATTGGCTTATTGGAAAATTCTCAAAACTGACCTGACCTTTGCTCAACACTATCAATATACCGAGATATGCATTTTAACAGTTATGATGATGACTGAAATTGATTGATGGATCAATGACCCTCACTGATGACTGAAATTTTTAAAAGCAGTATAATCATCCCCCTAGCAGGGCGCAGGTTGACACCCTTTCAAATCAGGCTCCAAGGGCCCTTTTGACACTTAAGGCCCTTTCAACCCAGTAAGTGAAGGGCCCTTTTGACTGCCGACCCTCCCCCCTGGAATAAATCCTAGATACACCACTGCTTTCATCTTTTCAGCAATCTTTTCCATCTTTCCATCTTGTTTTTGGCAGTGTGAGGAAGGGCTTATGCAATCATCCACAAAATTTTATTTGAGTGGGGCACAAAAGCACACCTTATCATCTCACCAATTTTGCTCCAACGGTGGGTTAAAGGTGTCTACTCTACTAAATAATGAGAAAAAAAAGTTCAAGCAGTTAATATGCACCATTATTACCTTACCTTACCTTAGAAGTACACATAATTTTGAGGCCAAGTGGCAGGCCTATTGGACCGGATCATTACTTTAAACTTGCTGTTTCTATTAATCGAAGACTCAGGGGGCGTCGAAGTCTAGTAGGAAAATCTGGCAATCCCCGGCGTGACGTAACGTCGGGGATGACCGACGGCACCTTGCACTGAAAGATACGGCAGAACGGCTATTTTTGAAAAATGATTTAAAATACTTGGGTGCTGTTATGACACATTAAACGCTTATCAGCATGTTCCTCATCATGTGATAAAGCCATATCCGTGGTCGAAAATAACCGAGCCCCTCCCAATTTCCAAACATCGACCTTATAAGCAAAGAATGTAAGCGTAATCCTTAAGGGCGACTTTCCCTTACATATCCGTACATATGCGTCCTTATGGAAATCGGTAGTGTGGCGATAAGCGACGCGCGCGACATCTGTGGGGCGACTGTGGCGACACCTGGTGGCTGCTTTTCTGCTGTATGTAGGCATTGGGGTTTTACCAGATATGGTTCCTACTGCTACACCACTATGTTGACCCAATACTAGAAAGTTATTTTGTCCGTAAATGGCAAGCAAATTAAAAGTATATTTATAAAATTACTTATAAATGATTACGAGATAATAATGAAGAAGTTTTGATTGATTAATTATTTAAATATTTAACCGTGAAACTATATTCTGGTAGGTTTAGTAGAAATTAGTCCGTGCAACCTTGTATTTAGGGCCTTGCGAAGACTGATGAATATTGGATGTTTTTCCAGTGGGAGTAGAGTCAGGGACTTAAAGGCATTGACAGTAGGTGCGGATACAACAGAGGGAGGCAGGCCGTCCCAGCTGTTGATTGTTCTGACTACCAGAATTGGCAATACATAAAATCCACAATGCACATGGTGAAAGGTCTGTCTGTTGTAACACGCAAACTGGCCTCAGGACTAGGGATTGAATTTTAAGAGACATTAGTAGCGCAAGGCAGCATATATTTTTCTGCGAAACAGGAATCTTTCGGCCAAGTACGATAATCCACGAAAGCAAACCATTATCATGACTTCGTCAGGATGATTCAGACTGATTCAGACGAACCATTTCAAAAGAACTATGATATCTGGAACCCCAGCAAGTCGCTCAGATAAGTTCTAGAATTTTGAGCAGTTATAACCATTGCTGTGGTTCTGGAGAAAGAAATGTGTCACTATTAGCGAGAGGACAAAGCAAAATTTAAATTTAATGCCACAAAAGTGATTTAAATGGCTACAGAAGTACCTTCGACATTTGCGGCGAGGCGTGACAAGGTATGACGCGCATCTTTGAACTCATCATACATGGACCGACAGTAGTGTTGATAATTTATACTGTATACCAAACATTTTCGGAAGCGTGCACAGCTACGGGCCGCACGGAACAGTAAAGTAAGTGAAGATTTCTACTGTTAACAGCTTTCCAAAAATGCATGTTTTGTAATATTTTTGGATTTAGAAGTATCAGGAGTTCAGGATTACCAGCAACTTTTGCCCATCGCTCGTGACTTTGAAGAGACGGCCCTCTCGGGGAGGTTGTCACAGTCCGGGGCGATACTAGTGACATCTATTGGCACATATTTCGTCAGCAAGTTACGTTGCCAAACCATGTTCGGAAAAGTGTTCTCCTGCATATTACTTGCAGCAGTGATACTTTCTGCAGTACTAAGAACAGAAGAGGCTATAAAATACTCGCCTTGGTGCGGCTGTAAGGTGCGCGCACAGTATTTGCCGCTGCTTCCGCGCCCGGTACCCTGCAAACGTCATCCAAAGTACGACAACCGCAAACTGTATCTCACTTTACTTTTACTTTTATTAGCCGGAGATATAGAGCTAAATCCTGGGCCGCCGACCATAGAAAATATTTCGGACATACCCGCTTTCGCACGTGGATCTGTAGAGGACACAACAAAAGAAGATAGCACTCTACGCGATAAACCATTCGACAGCATCTCGCTGCGGTCCCGAGCAGTAGCACGACCACAGCCCGACCGTCCTGCGCCAGCCGTTGAAACAGCGGCCGCTGCGCCAGGCGCTGTAACAGCAACCGCTGCGCCAGCCGCCGTAACAGCGACCGCTGCACCGGCAGCTGTAACAGCAAACGCCTCGCCAACCGCTGTAACAGCAGCCGCTACGCCAGCCGCTGTAACAGCAGCGCCAGCTGTTACTTCTGACAACAAAAGTCCCCAGAGACGCCCCGCACAACATCCTGGCGACACAGTGATGGAGCCGATTCCTGGACCGTCTTTCGTATCAGTTAACCTGATGGATGTCATGGAGGCGATAAGGCTGACTCAGCTTAAGTTGGACAAAGTATCTAGTGACCTTCTGGAAATGAAGCGCACTGTTGACTCACTTCTCCATCGTGACGTTCATTCAGCTGCACCTACGACTACCTACAGCACCTACGGGGAAAACGAGACTCTGCGAGAACACCAAGGACGGCCGCGAGACCTAAATCGAAATAGCGACAGACCTTCTCACGACAACAGAGGCAGTAAGAGCCGAGACATAATGATCGTCGGTGATTCTAATGTCCATCACCTGAAAAAGAACAACCACCGAGCAAACGTCACCTTTCGGTCAGTATCAGGGGCCAAAACTGAGCAGATAAAACAAAGCGTCTGTGGGGAGCCTCCTGCAGCGCCCTTTGTAGTGTTACATGTCGGAACGAATGACCTGGCGCTGAAGGGTTCCGAAGAAATAGCCAAAGGCCTGGTTCAACTGGCTCGGCAGACCAGCGCTCGCGGAGTAGAACATGTGTTTCTCTGTAGCGTCACACCTAGGAAAGATCATGGATCATTCGTTTATAGTAGATCTGAGAGTGTTAACAATAGGCTTAGATCGCTATGTGTGAAAACCGCTGGGGTCTCTTTCATTGATTTGCGCCAACATCTCGACAGATGTCCCTTTACTGGCTTAGCAAGGGACGCAGTTCATTACAGCGATTTAGGTGCGTCGGTGGTTCTTGATGCAATCATTGACTCGGTAGGCAATTTTTTAGCGTAGGCAACTCCAATCAGCTACAGAATGAGAGCAGTTCATGTAAGCGAAATCGATTACCAAAGTTGTCACGACCGTGCAACGAAAGTAGAAAAAATGGACACATAAACATTACACTTTTGAACTGCAGAAGCATTAGATCTGAAGATAGAGCTAGAGAATTCCGTATCTTTGTTCGTGAACACGATCCAGATATAATTTTAGGAACGGAATCGTGGTTATCTAGTGACATTAGTAACGCAGAAATATGTCCACATGATTACGTGATGTACAGAAAAGACCGTAAAAACAAACCAGGAGGCGGAGTCTTCATAGCTATTAGGGATAATATTACCAGTTACAAGGAAGATTGGAACTGCGACGGTCTATGTGAAGCAGTTTGGTGTAGAATAGTTGATAAGTTTAAAAGACAGTATGTACTCGGATGTTTCTATGATCCACCAAGTGACTGTGCTCAGTCTCTTCTTGAGTTCCTAGGTGTCCTGAGAGAACAAGCCCAATTGAAAAATACTAGAATCATTGTTGGAGGAGACTTTAACCTCCCTGATATCGCATGGGAAAGCATGAGTAGCATGCCTGGTGGAAGATATCAAAACAAAAACGAATTATTGCTTAATGTCTTGAATACTAATGGGCTAGAGCAATTAGTAAAAGAACCTACAAGGATATGTCCGAGTGTCAGTAATATTTTAGACCTTGTTGTGACCAATATTCCACAGCATATTGAAAGCGTCATCACCTGTGATGGCATAAGTGACCACTTAGCTCTTCTATTTAAAATAGAAAACATTTCACGTAGAGCAAAAGTAAAACGAAAAATCAAATTATTCGGTCACGCTGATACCCAAAAAATGAATGACCTTCTATACCAACATTATATAGAATTTTGCCGAATGGCTGAGACACGCACGGTTAACGAAAACTGGAGTCATTTCAAGCTGTCATTGAAAGATATCGAACAGCTTGTTCCATGCCGTACTATCAATGTAAATGCAGACCCTCCGTGGTATAATAGTCACCTAAGACGTCTTGAAAAAAGGCAGAGGAGACTACACAGAAGAGCTAAACTGTACAAAACTGAATTCTGTCTAAGAAAATATAGAGAAACCAGAGCCCTTGTCAAGTCAGTACATAAAGAAAGTGAACTTAGGTACAAAAACAAACTTGGAATGTTATTGAAGGAAAACAGTAAGCACTTTTGGACATATGTCAAGGCTAGACGTGGGAAAAGAACGGGTATTTCGTCTGTTCTTTCTGATAATGGTGAACTAGTACATGCCCCGAGAGAAATAGCAAACACTTTGAATAAGCAATATATGAAAGTGTTTTGCAAAGATAGAGGGGTAAACGCACAACCGGAAAGGTTCCGTACGACAGAAACAATGCTTCCAATAGAAATAAGTTATCGTGGCATAGTGGTTCTTCTGGAAAAAATTAAAGCCGGGAAAGCGCATGGCCCTGACAATATAAGCGGGTCGATGCTAAAGTGCTTTGGGAAAGTAGCAGCATTGTTTTTAAAAGTTATATTTGAGCAATCCTTGGAAACTGGTGAAATTCCTCAAGACTGGCAAGAGGCCATAGTCCATCCTGTTTTTAAGGGCGGTAGTCACAAAATGCCTGCAAATTACCGACCAATCTCACTGACATGCATTTGCTGTAAAATCATGGAGAGGATATTAGCTACGTCAATAATGACTTATTTAGAGGATGCCGAATTACTCTCAGAGCATCAGCATGGTTTTAGAAAACGGCTATCCTGTGAATCACAGCTAATTATGTTATACCAGGATTTGATGTCATCAATCGATAAAAGGAGGTGTATAGATTTGACATTCATTGATTTCAGTAAAGCCTTTGATAAAGTTCCCCACAATCTCCTTCTGAGTAAGCTTTTATCATACAGATTAGATAAAAATGTCGTAGGATGGATAAGCTCGTTCCTAAAAAACAGAACCCAGAGAGTTTTAGTAGAAAACTCTCTTTCGGAGTCAATAAATGTTTCATCTGGGGTGCCACAAGGTAGTGTCTTAGGTCCAATTTTATTTCTTCTCTACATAAACGATCTCCCCGACCAGATTACCTGTTCAATAAGGTTATTTGCAGATGACGTTGTTCTGTACACAGACGTTCTGAATACTGAGCAAAGTAGTTATGTTTTACAGAGTGACCTTACAAGATTAGCAGAGTGGTGCCAAAAATCAAAGATGGTGATAAATATTGATAAATGTGCTATTATGAGAATGTCCAAGCATAAAGCACCATTAAACCCAAAGTATACCTTAAATGGAGTAGATCTTAAAGTTGTCCAAGAATATAAGTACTTAGGAGTCTACATATCAAGTAGATGTGGCTGGCAAAAACATATTGAATACACAACCGGAAAAGGAAACCAGATTCTTAGATTTATTCAGAGAAACTTCAAAGATTGTCCCCGATCTGTAAGAGAAACAGTTTTTATTACGCTGGTGAGACCAATTTTAGAATATGCGAGCTGTGTATGGGATTCGTGTGGTGAGGCTTCGAAAAACGCGATTGAGATGATTCAACGACGAGCAGCTAGATTTGTAATGAATGACTATCTACGGTCTAGTAGCGTTAATGACATGCTGTCAAATATTAACTGGAAACCGCTAGATGTGAGACGAAAGGAGTCTCGTTTGTGTTTGTTATTTAAAATGTATACTGGCGATATTAAAGTAGATGTTAGTGACCTTATATGCCCGCCTTGCTACACTGGGAGAAATGATCATGAAAAGAAAATAAGAAGGATCCAATCTAGAGTCCTTTCATATCACCAATCTTTCTTCCCAAGAACCATACGTGATTGGAATAGTCTTCCCCATAATGTAGTAAATGCAACTTCCTTTAATGAGTTTCGAGAAATGCTATTAGCCTTAAGACCGCAGGAAAGCTAAATAGCTATATTTGATACTTTACGTAACGATAGCTAGAAGACGGTCTCCTGGTTTGAGAAGCTTGAAAAAACTTGAGAAATAATGATTAGGTTGTTGCTACACAAAATGTGTTCCATAATGCTCTTACATCTCATGTGTTCATAAAATGACATGAAAATTTAGGAATGTGTGTATCTGTGTTTGCATATGGTGGGTTTAATGTCGAGTGCATATATGCAAGTGTTGCTAGCGCTACATATGATCACCAGGGCCAACTGGCATTTGTGATGACAACTATATGAATACAATGAATGAATATCTATTATAATATACCCAGAACATGGATGAGGAATCGTAACCGGACAAATCTTCGTATGGCAATTCTTCGTCGCGCAATTCCTCGTCCGCATTTCTTCGTCCGCAAATCTTCGTCGGCGCATTTATTCGTGTCGCATAACTTCGTCTCGCATTTCTTCGTAAGCGCAAATATTCGTAGCGCATTTTTTCGTATCCGCATTTCTTCGTACGCGCATTTCTTCGTCAAGCATTTTTTCGTCCACGCATTTCTTCGTCTACGCAAATCTTCGTCCGCATTTCTTCGTCCACGCAAATCTTC